AGGGTTACTCTCTGTTAAAACGCACCAGAAGGCACATTTTGTGCCATGTAGCATAAGAATTTCTGTGGTTTCTTGGCACATTTTGTGCTGTGTAGCATAATACAATTTTGTGACCTGAAAAGAACATCGTTCACTGGTAAATCCCTGAGCACATAGGCTGGCTGGTTTTGCCAGTTTAAAATTCCTAATGTCCTGAACTTCTAAACATTGAATTCATAAGTGCAGTGTTTTTATTTACTGTGCCATAAATGTAGAGCTCTGGTTTTTAAAAGCATAGGTAAAGGCTTGAAGGGCAGTTTATCATGCTTCAGAGTTTCTTTTGCTTTGGTAAATTTGTGCAGCTCTAAACTGGATTTGGAGTATAGGGAGAAAGAAAATGATTAGATCAACCTTAAGGTATACCCATTAAGATTTTTTGCCAAGAATGATACAGGGTTGCTATGTGAGACTTAGAAACACTTCCTGAATTGGTCGAGATTGTTTCTCTGCTGTCTCTAAATCGAAACATAACAGAAACAGACTTTTTTTGGTGTAACACATCAGTAATCTCAGTTCTGCCTTGTGTTGACACAAACCAAGTTGATTTTTTATAAGTTGTAATTTTTTTATTTGTACTTTAAACTAGTGTTGATGTTTGTATTTTGTTATGTTTTAGGATTTTTTTAAAAACAGCTACTGTCAGTTTTGAGAACATGCTGAGAAAAGTCCAATCTGATCTGTTGAGGCAGCTTCAGCCCTGAGAATAACCTATCCTTATCACTTCACTGTTTTACTCTTTTACAAAACACTTACATGGTTTTCATCTCTGTGACATAAAATTTGTTCAAGGATGTAGTTTGGCTCAGTTGTAATTAACTAGCCCTGCAGTTGGTTTGTATTTCTGTGCTGATGAGCAGAACAAAGCTGTAGGTAAAAAATGGTTTACTCTCCTCTTGATATATATTACCGTGTGTCCTGAGCTGCAGAAGATAGGTGGGACTGGTGTTTTTTGTACCTCCCTGTTCTTCAGGGTTTTTTAAGTAATATACTTGATCTTTCTGTCTCTGGTAAGTTAAACTGCATGGTACTTTTACCTCTCAAGCAAAGATGATGTGTTTTTGGAAACTTCATGTGCAAATTCAGCTTCTTGTTTTTGCTTTGCTAGAGAAAAGGATCTTCAAAAAATAGAGAGTATTTGGGGAAAAAAGTTAAAAATGTTATTTTCTTCATCATCTCTGCAGAAGATTTTAGTTATTTTTTAACATAGTGTCTGCACTTTATTTGTATTCCTTATTTATCATGTAGTAAATGCTCATTCTTTTCCCTGAGAATTCTTGTAACTGAAATCCCTTCTAACAAATCCTTTCAGCTGAAAAGGTAACTTGAATAAATGATGAACCACAGATTTTTGGTTGGTTTTTTTTTTTTTTAATTTGTTTTAGGTTAATTTTGAAGTTAATTTAAATTGTAAAGCTGAAGAATGAAGCAAATAGAGACTGTTCCAGCTAAATCCTCAGTGGTGAAGACTGCAATAAGTGACTGGGCCTGGAAGAGAAATAAAATACAACTAATTACTTCTACATGCTGCTAGAAATTGTCAGTCAGCGATTTTACGCATTTCCTATCAATATATGATACTAATTTACATTTTCCAGAATGCTCGTGGAGGTTATTATGAAACATGGGTATAACTTAAATGGTTCACTGTTTCAAGGCAGAGCAGGTGCACCTGGTGAAGCACGAAGTGTCCAGTGTTATGTTACCGATTTGTAATTCTTCATACAATTCATTCAGTGAGGCAGGATTTGTGTATACTTCCCTTTGTTGGTTGGCATCATTTTTATGAAGTTACAGTATTAAAATATTTTTCCTCTGGCATTCTTCATGTAGAAGTAGATCTGGCAACAGATCTCTGTCGAGGCACAAGGACAGACGCAGGTCCAGGAGTCCCCTGAAAAAACGGTCTAGGTCCACGGAGAGGAGGAAATCGCGGAGTCGCTCTCGCTCTCGGTGAGTTCTGCTCCTTGAAGTGGTGCTATTAGCTCACAGGACAGAGCTCCTGAAAAAGATTGAACCAATCTTCAGGTTTCAGGTGGAATCTTGTCTGAAAATCTTGACAGGGAGTAAATTTTAATGCTGAGCTTAGTGGTTTTGGCTAGGATAATGTTAGTTTTCTTCCTGGTAGCTCATATGGTGCCTAGAGGAGTTCGACAACCACACTGAGGTACCTATCTTTGGTAGTTTACACCAGTATCCAAACTGACTGAAAAGAGAGAACTTTAATTGTCAGTCAATAACCAACAGAGTAGGAATAGTCTGTGTAGTAACCCACAAAAAAGTGGATGATGCTTGTTTGAGAAGGTTGAATTCAGACCGACCTTGACGCTGTATTCTGAGAACATGCATAGAGTTTCTGTGCATGAGCTTTTGTTTTCTCCTCTGCCTTTCTCATACTCCAGATAGCAAGAACAAGTGCATGTGTCTGTTTTATGGCATATTTGTATTTCAGGATGTAATACATCTGTATTTATCTAGTCTATTAGTTTTTATGTCCATTGTCTGATTACTGAACTGTGAAATTCCAACAAGATAACACCGCCATTTTCTGAGGGAGGAAGTAGTGCATAATCATGAACCAAAGGTGCCTGTGAAAATAGCTTCATGAATAGAAGTCTTGGTACTTCCTTTCTGTTTCATCTCTGTCATTCCCCTGATTCATTTAAAGGGAGCTTTATACTCAGATTGTGCAGTTGCCTCTTGCTCTTTGAGGGAAGAAGTTTTGTGGGAAGGAACTGCAGATCCGTGGACCTCAGTGGAAACAGGAATCGGCTTTGTAGTCAGCTGGGTTTTATTGATGGATCCTTTTGATTCTCTGTGGCTGTTGTCTGGAGCTTCTTGAGACATCTGCTCACTGGAAGGGGCAAATCCAATGAGATCTCTGTGGTAAATTAACTGTAAGGCACTTCTTGGGAGGTTGTGAGACTGGTAGTGCAGGGACTGTGTGCTGTTTGTGGTCTTACATTCCTTCTCTGAGACTCCTGAGGAAGTATTAGCCAGAACCTGATGGGAACCAAAGTTGTCAGCTCACAGAGCATACAGCAGTCTACTGTTTATTAGCAGTGAGAAGATATAGCTGAACACTTGTTCAGTTTGAGGACGGTGAGGGCTGTGGTTAGGGCCTTTCATGTGTGAAGGGGTCTCTGAGAATTTACCAAAATCTAGAGTGGGTACCAGTACCCATAGACACAACAACTTCTGCCAGTCTGGTTCTCTTCACCATGTAAAGGTCTGCTAATCAACCTCTCCTCTTGTGCTTTCTCCTGTTTCTCTCTGAACAGTTGTTCTTTTGTCATGTGTCTCTGTGTTAGAGAGATGGAGTCTTGCATTTCAAATAATCCTATGCCAGAATGCAATCTTCCAGCCAAAGCTGTGAGCAAATCAGTGTTTGACTTGACAACTAGAACATGGGTTGGAATTTTCCTCACTGTTGTTCTTTTTATGAACATGTGTCTTTCTGCCTGTCCCAGAGGAGCTGTTATCCTTTCTTCTGTTTTTACTGTACTAGCAATTTTTTCTGTAATTTTCAAATTCCTAAGGACACTACAGATGATTGGATTGTTCTTGTTTCTGTTTTGAGCTTGCATTTCCTTTTGAGGGAATCTGGTGAAATTTAATCCATGGGGTTTCTGTGTCTCTGTATTACTTGCTGGACTTCCAAGCAGTTCAGGGATATCTGTGTGAGAGAACTCTGTAGGATAAAGGCTTCTGTTAGTCAGCTGTCATTATTCATTTGGGAGTGGGTAATCTGCAGTACATTTAATGTGGATTTGCATATTGCAGAGTTTGTCTTCTAACAAATATAGAAAATTTATGTATGTGCAATTACATAACTGTGAGGTGAAGAGGCATATTCTCTCCAAGCATAATAATATCGCTTGGAAGATAGTGATCTTGGCCTCCCCTTCTCCAAATTTTTCCTAGCCATGTAACCTTTCCCTCGTGGTGAACGGGAGTGGAAAATTAAAATACTGAAGAATGACGATTTTTCAACAAGAGATGCAAGCTTTGTCTTAATATGTACTAAAAAGTTAGTTGTAATTTTAATTGGAAAGTTCAAAGATGAATTAATGGGTTTGTGTTTGGCTTTTCACAGGGACAAGAAAAGAGACAAAGAAAAGATCAAGGAAAAAGAAAAGGCCAAAGAAAAAGAGAGAGACCGAGACAAGGAGAAGGAGAGAGAGAAGGAGAAGGAAGGGAAGAGAAGGGAAAAGGAAAGGGAAGGGACAAGGAGAGAGAGAAAGAGAGAAACAAAGAGAGAGAGAGAGCCAGAGACAAGGACAGGGACAAGGATAAGGAAAAAGATAGGGACAGGGAAAAGGACAAAGATAAAGACAAGGAAAAAGACAAGGAAGAGGTAGACCAGAACAAGGAAAAAGAAGATATTGAGAAAGAAGGAGAGAAGGACAGAGAGAAGAGTAGGGACAAGGAGGGAGATAAGGACAAAGGAGGGGAGAAAGAGAAGGACAGAGACAAAGAAAAGGAAAAAGATGGGGAGAAGGAGCGAGAAAGAGAAAAAGAGAGAGATGATAAAAAGAAGAAAGATAAGAGATCCAGAACACCCCCAAGAAGCTATAGCTCTTCAAGAAGATCTCGTAGCTCCAGCAGGTTTGTTTAGAACTTTTCATGCTTTTTTTGACTTGTCAGTTCAGTGAGGCACCATCCTAATTTTTATGTATTGATATCATCATGTTTCTTACTAATAAAGTTTGTATTGTTTCTGTTTTGTAGATTTTCCTTTTAAATAAAATCTATTATAAGAAGCTGTGTATGATACCTGATAGAACATAGTTTCTTGTAGGGCTGCTGATACTTGACTTTCACATAACCATACAGTACAGTCCTTGAGGACAGTAAGTAGATGATTCTTCTGCCATTTCTGTGTCACAGACAAGTAAAAGTTCTGACCAACATCACACATGCTCTTTGCCCTGACAAAAGTTCAAGTCACTGTTACTTAGGTCCTTTATTGCTTACATAGGGCACAGTGTTGGTCTGTAGATGCTACAAACCATTTTTTGATAGTACTTCACAGTTTTTTGGCTGGATGGTTGAAGGGCAGGAAGCAGCCGTATCACTTGCCTGGCTAGCCTTTCACAAGGTGAATATCTCTCTGCTGGAAGATCTGGATACCTTGTTTAGCTGATGGGGTGGCCAGATACAAGTGAAAAGTTACACTCCTTAACCATGCTGATAGCAAACAGGAAAACAATAGTTAGCATAGCTGTTGGTTTTGCCTCTGAGGGAAGCTAAACTGTGGGAGCTGGATGAATTCAGTAGAGCAAAAGGAGGCTGTGAGATTGTAATCACTCTCTTTAAAGGGGTCAAACAACCATATTATGAAAGCTTTGCAGCTAAGCTAAGCTGAGAAGCTTTGGTGGATAAGGTGCTTTCTGATACCACAGGAATTGTGGAGTTCAGTATCGTGTCAGATTTGGGTACCAAATTACACTGTTATCTTGAAACAGTGAAATGCTCGATGAATTGGGACAAGTTCTGTGTGTTAGAACAATTTCACTAGACAAAGGCAGAATTTCCATAGTCCTCAAAATTCATGAGTTCAGAGTTCACAGTAGGCAAAAAAGGGTGTAATGGTTTCTGAACCTTCTGTTGTGTAAAATGTCCATATTGTTTTGGAGGCTTATGGGCAAAATACTGTTTCTTCTCTTAGCATATATAGCTTCCTGTTTTAATGCATGTTGAACATTATTTAATGGGTTGAAGGCCTACATAGAGTAGAGGTAGTTCTGTCACCTTTGAAAACATTCTCTGTAAGCCTGAAAGTGTTGAATTAGATAAGAGTAGAAAAATAGTTAGGATTTTCACAGTGATAGCTTATATGAGAACCTTGGTGGAAGACCAAGTTCCTGATGTCAATTAGCAAGCATAGTGAGCTGGATGTTACCAAAAATTCATACTCTAGAAAGTGCTGTGGAAGGTTCCAATGCCAAGTGCTTGAGCAAGGAATTCTAGTGAATATTAGTGCATCTCTTCAGTGGAGTCACAGTACAAAACCCTACTTGGATGTGAAGTTATTATTTTGTATACAGGTGTTGCTAAACTGGGACAATGTTCTTTTGAAGGTGGAGGGTGAGAAAGTACACTTTTTAGTACGGATTTACCACTTTTCTTCAGCTATAACATTATCCTTAGAGTATCAACACTGAGGCCAATACTATCTAACACTTTCTGTGGCTTAGGCAGTGGGACAGGGTGTACCCTTGACAAATCTGCAGACAATAGGGGAGAGGGTGGTCCACCAGAGGAGTGTTCTGACATTTACAGAAACCCATTTAGAAAAAAATGGAAAAATGGACTGATAATCATCTCATGGAGTGGAGCAAAGAGAGAGGACAAGTTCTGCACCTGGGCAGGAATAATGCCATGGCACCAGTACAGGGACTGTCTAGAAAGCTGTCTGGTGGCAAAGATCTGGGGGTCCTTGCAGCTAGGAAGGTCAGCGGTGTTACAAGCAGGTGAGAAGAGGTAATTCTGTCCCTCTTCCTTTGTAGTGGTGAGGACAGACCTAGAATCCTGTGGCCAGGTCTGGGCTTCTCATTACAAAAGACACACAGATGTTTAGGACTGAGTCCAGTGAAGGGTCATGAAACTGGTGAAGGGCTTGGAGCATCTGTCACACAAGGGGATGCTGAGGAATCTGGGATTGTTTAGCATGGCAAAGAGAAGGGTGAGGAGCATCTTACTGATGTGTGTGAAGAAGACAGTCATCTCTGTGGAGGCCTGTGGCAGGCTGACAGGCTGCAGGCACATATTGACATATGGGAAACAAAGGCTGTTTTCTAATGTTTAAATTGTGTTTTTTCTGGGCAAACTGGAGCCAGTTAACCTGAGGGATTGTGGAGTCTCCTCCATCCAAGGAGATAGTAAAAATCTGACTGGCTATGACCCTGAGGAACATACTCTGATTGACACTGCTTTAAGGTGGGTGAGGGAGAGGTAGGAGTAGGTGATCTTCAGAGGGTTCTTCTAACCTCAGTAATGCCTTTGACCTCTGAAGAGTAATTATGAATAGGTTGGGTTAGAGTCACAGCTTGCATTTAGGGGTCTAGTTGAAATGGTTACAGACCTTTCTGGAGGAGATTATCCAGAAAATCAGTATTTCAGTTGCCTGGATTTACTGTACAGCACTGACTGCTGATCATTTACCTGATGATTGTAGAATATTGGGCAAATAGTCATCTTTTTGGAGAGGAGATGGAGGAAGAATAGGACATACAGGGCCTTCTGACAACTGGGTGGCACCTGACCTTGCTTTGCTGACAGACAGCAGGCAAGTACTGGAAATAATATGGCTATAATTCCTAGCTGAAGGAAGAAACAGACCAAGCAAAGAGAAGGATCTGATTTTTACTCCAGCTGACATCTTCCAGGTTAGCAGAGCCCACAGCACTGGAGGAGGTACAGAATGTTATTTCCATGTACGATTAGGAGACGTGGGATCACCATCCAAGTGTTCAGACCTGTTTTTTTTTCTTCTTTCTTTCTGTTTTGCTGCATTAGTGTTATATAAGAGCATTAATGAAACAGGTGCACAAAAACTTGTGCGGACAAATGTAATAGAGATGGGAATAAATACTGTGAGCCACAGCTGTAGCTCCTCAGCTTGAAACAAGAAAAGCAGAAACTGGAGGTTTCCTGAATAAACAGTTTCTAGTTTGCACACAATGACTAAAGCACTTGGTTACTCACAGGTATGTATGCTGGAAAGCAAAATAAAACAGACATGTACTCAGTGTAGCCGAAGTGGGAACACTGTCAGGGTAACCAGTTTCCAGTATTCTCATCTGAAAAAATGTGATGATAAATGTGAAGGCGTCTGAAAGATGCATATTAACTGGTGGACATCTGATCAGTGATTATGTTACTTGTTCTGTGATTTTGAGGCCACTTTATATTTTTGTTTACCAAAGATCAAATCAAGCTTAGCTTGCTGAACAAAATAATTAAGGAATTCTGTCCTGTGCAGCTTCAGAAAGTCATTGTCTTAGTTAGTGCTGGGGGAGAGTTAATTTTCTTCTTAGCAGCTGGTACAGTGCTGGAGTTTCCCTTTTTTTCCTGATTCTTCTCCTCACTGGGGGAAAAGGAGACTTAGTTGCTGACTAGGGTTGAACCCTGATGGTGCTTTTTGGGCTTTTTTTGTTCCCTCACCAACCCCTTCCTTGCTCAACCTCCTCACATCCTACCCAGCTCTGTGTCTTGAAGGTTGAGATAAGAACAGCAGCAAAATAGTAATGATAGTAACACTAGCAGTTGTAATGGGAAGGAGAAAGAGAGGGATTAAACACAAGAGAAAGAAGTGGTGTACAGTCTAGTCACTCAGCACTGTTGCCCAGCCCATCCCTCAGGGCGATTGACAGCTCCCAGCTGTGATATGGAATATCCCTTTGGCCTTTGGATGAGCTCTCCTGGCTGTGCTCCCTCCCAGCTTCTTGTGTACCTGCTTGGTGACAGAGCATGGGAAACTGAAATGTCCTTGAATTAGAGTAAGCAACAGCTAAACCATACAGTGTGTTACCAACATTATTCTCATATTGAACCCACAGCACCTGTACCTGCTGCTACAAAGAAAATTAACTTTATCCCTGCCAAAACCAGGACAGTCATGGTGAATGATACTGTCAGTGCCAATCCAGATAGTGACACTAGGCATAACTTAGTAGGCACTTTTGTCATTTATCTAATAACTTGATATCCTGGGTTTTTAAGTGTTGAGGATTTAAATATTCCCACCCAGTGGTGTGAACTGCAAGAGCTGATAATGCATAAACGTAGCTTCTGTGCTATGTCTAGAAGTTAGTGTTTAACTTCCCTGGCATTTTTTTGATGGTTCTTCCAATCTACTTTTTCTGCTCTGTGAAGAGTTGATAGGAAAAAAACCATCTTACTTTGGCAGAGATAGGTTCTGCATTTATGTTGAATGAAATTTTACTGGCTCAGTTTTTGGTTTAATTTAACATGTGCCTCAGTGTGTTTGCAACCAGTTGCCTAATGTTTTGTTCTTTTCAAAATCAGACTTCATAATAGCAACTTCAAGCTCCATATAGCTGTGTACAACAGCTGTTTTGTAAAATACCATAACTTCCTCTGCGTGTTACAGAATAGCACTCTGTTTGCTGAGCAAGGAACATTGGAAAAACATTAGATATTAACTTATGATTTTGACAACAGCTTGAGCTTTGGTCTGTTTGCTTCTAAACCAGCAGG